CACCACAATTTGAGAATTGACATTAGTCACAAAAGAAAAATGATGCACCTTGAAGTCTATCTTTTAACCAAGCAAAAGACCTTATCTAAATCATCTAGAATATTTTGTTCTCATCCCAATGATAATGTTTGAAAGTTTCCTCATTTTTGTTCACCCAAACTGTTCAATCCACAACTAGAAAATTGAGAGTTTTGACTTTTCAAAACTTGCCATCTAAATTACTAGAAGGCAAATATAAATTGTACATCAATCAGTTGTATAGAAAATCTAACGGTGGAAGATAACATATGATTATTTTTTAATAATTTTTCTTCTCCCTATTTGATTAGTTTTAGCAAAATGACATTTTTTTGTGGAATATACTTTGAATGATTCTTTTTTTTTTTGTTTGTTTTCTTTAAAGGTAATCATATATAGTATACAATACTTACTTGATAAGTTTTAAATGAATACAATCAGCCTATTTTGAAAAGTTTTATAAATTGAAATGATCACCATTATATTATATTTTTTTGAAATTATATTTGTTAGTTATTTTCTCTTAAATTATTATCTTATAAAAATATTTTTTTAAAAATTTAAAAACAAGCGGGTTAATTTGTAAACTCGCAAGTTAACTCATGTTTGACCTGTGATCTATTTGGATTGACCAAACAAGTCAATACTACTTGAATCTAATTCGTTTTTTAAGGGTTGGGTTAGGATTGAGTTAACGGGTGAGATATGATTTGCCATCTCTAATTTCCTTTAAATAAAATCTCAAGTTTGAATTTTGTAAATAAAGAGACAAACACCAAGTGAGTTTCACTTTTATGAACTCTAATGCAACTCGATTTTAAATTAGTTAAAGTTAAATGTGATTTTCAAATATCAAAGTATTTAATACCAAAAATACATAATAAGCAATCAAAATAAAAAATCAAAACTACACACTATTTCGTATAATATGTTCTTATTTTTGAGTGTAAATATCTTTTGAGCACTATTAACATATGACCTAATAGTAAAATTATCTAAGATTCAATTCTTAGAGGAGCAAACCATTACTTTTATTTCACACTCTCACAAAGTATGTATTCCTATTTCTAGTGTAGATAACTATGAATTTCTTTTGCATACCCAGTGAAAGTGGTCGGGTTCCTTCAGTCCAGAAGCAACTAACTATTAAAGCCTAGCATCATACACACAAGCCACAACTCAGTGGTTTCACTTCAGATCCGCATTTGCACGAAACAATGTAATGGCTCAAAACAAACTTTGTTCATCATCCATTTCCAAATAAGTCCTAAAAGACAAAAGAAGAAAAAAAAAATTCTTGTCCCTAATAATCACTTGAGACCATTAGGAATTACAATTTAAGAATAAGGAACATTTTTGTGTTGATTTTTATGACCTTGAATATTCAGATGTTGAAATACCTACTCCATTCAAGATTAGAATTTGGAAAGAATAGTGTAAGCTAGTCTACAATATTTTATCACAAGCTAATCAGGGGAGTGTATACACAACGGTCTCTGCACAAGTTGGACGGCAGGGGGCGACTGGTGGAAGCAGCACGCAGATCATCAGTTTCATGATCTTGAACATTATGAATTGAATATGTTCCAATGGTGATCTGACGGTAAAGTTTCCTTGATCTTTTCAAGCTTCTTGAGAATCTCCAAGAAAGAAGGTCTTTGGTTCATGTCAGCAGCCCAACACTTTTCTGTCAAGCTAAAAAATATCCGAGAAAGGAAATTAGCAAACTCCAGCCATCCAAAGTTCTACAGGACAATTGGTTAAGGTAAAACTAGAAATACTTTCCACATTAAAGTTGGATCTATAACAGGATTTTCGGTTAAGGCATTAACAAACGTCAAGACTTGTTGAAAGAAACACTGATAAAAGAATTAAAGCAAAAAAAGTAGAACAAGAAGGTTCAGCAAGCAATTCCTGGAAGATGTGTAATAGGAACATTTGTAAGGCAGCAAACAACATTTTCAAGTTGGCTTTAACTAAAATGTAAAATGGATTTTTTATGGAGCTAAAAAAA